AATCCCGATTAAAAGCTAATAAAAATAATATTGATTAATTTGTTCTTGCAAGAATGATATGAGATAGATATGAATAAGAACAATAAGAATATGCAACAAATAATATATAAGCAAAGCAAAACACAAACATACGATATGTTTAGACGAGGTTTGGTCACCCGACCTACGTCGCCCGCTCCTCACCCTCGAGGAGATATCCACTATCACAATTCGGTTTGGAAGCCGAACTTCTAAACACCACTCGGTTTACAAGTTCACGAAAACTCTCACACACCAAAACACTATGCAATCACACCACTTTACACACTAATGTAGGAACCTAGCCCGTGTCCTCCTCCTCAAGTGCTCGGATGCAACCTCTCCCTAAGGTTCGTCAACCGACCCATCTCTATTGGATTCGACCGGCGCCGTCTCTCGTCTCATACTTCTCTCGGTGTACAAGTGTATTACAAGTGATACTCACAATAAAAGATAAATATCATGATTTGTTCTCAATAACAAATGAGAACACAATGAAGCTCACACTCACTAAATCACACCCCACAACCCACACTATATAGTATGAAAATATTAAGCTTAATATGTGTGTGTGATAACAGTGAATGAAAATAATACAACTCAATAAATATAGCTAATGAAATGAAAATGGAATAGTAAGCTATATAAGAGTTTAGAAAACTTCTCAAATAAGAAGAACAGTAGATGATGATCCCAATAGGATTTGAAAGCCACTTCTTGTTGTAGGAAAACTTCTTTTGAAACAGACTGATAAAATCAGCTTAAACAACTCTTTTAAACACTCTTAATATTTTGTTAAACACAAAACTTGGATAGATAAAAGAGAGCAGCAATGGGGTTTTATACCCTCTCAAATATCAGCCAAAAACCAACTTGAAAAAGACTAAAAAGCCCCCAGAGAGCCGTTGTGAAAATAGCCGTTAAAAACCAATGATTAAATCGGCGGGGCCGCCCGCGAGGCACAAAAATCCTGAGTATAGGGTTTTAAGGCTGGCGGTTGTAGGTGTAAATTTTGATCTCCCGAAAACAGGAAACTTCGTTTGTATTAATAAGAAAGCTTATTACAAACTAATCAATCGAAATTACAACAGAAGCAGATGGAAGACCCTCCTTGTTTAGTGTGGGGACTTTTCGGTAGCTACAGGATGCTTCGCTCGATGCTCGTGCCGACTCTGCTTTCCTTGGACCGTTCGACTGAGGTTGCTGGGGAGCTTCAGTACGCAATAGAAGCTCGGGTCGATAGAGTTCGAATCTTCTAGTTCTCCGGCGATCAGGGCTCAGAACTAGGAAGTGGCGCTGCAATGCAAAAATTATGCAGAGAGCTTGCCGTCGATGCCTTTCCCAAAGTTTTTTGACCTCTCAAAGTTTTTTCGACCTCCTAAAGGTTGCTGGAAGAGCCTCTTAAATGAAAGAGAGGCAGCTTGGTTGCTCCTTGAATTATGCGATGTGACCATACATTGTTCAGAGATATCCTGCTGTTCACCTGTACCATGAGCGGTCATTCGAGGAGCCGTGTTTTGCATCACGTCACGTAGGAGTGGGAAAGCCCCTCCCCGTATGTGTGACAACGATTGTCAGATACTCGAGTGGATCTGACCAACTCACCGAGCGCCGGCGGCTCTCACCCCTCGTTTGGACAAGTGAGGTAAGTTGCATTTATGAGGGTACAGGTTGATTTGGCGTCTGTCTGATCACTTGTACTGTGAGCGGTCATTCGGCGGGCCTAGAGTACCGTGTCTTCTCCCTTCAGGTCGAGAGAGGTGGGAAAGCGGGTTCCCAATACTCGAGTGGGCTTGGACAGCTTGCCGAATACCGGCGGATCCAGCTCTCGACTCGGAGAGACGAGGTGAGCTGCATTTATAAGTGCTCAGGTCGATTCGACATCTGCCCGCTCACTCGACGGGCCTAGAATACTGTGCTCTCTCCCTTCAGGTCGAGAGAGGTGGGAAAGCCCGCCTTAGCACGTGGGGTAGCAGATACCTAGCTATACTAGCGGCCTTGAGGTTTGCTGGCGAATTCGACTTCAGACTCAGTCAGGCGAGTTGTGTTAAAAGGTGAATTTTCGTGGCTTGGGCGACTTCTTCTTGCAGGCGAATTTCTCGCAAGCTCACGGAGGTATTTTCTGCGATCGACCGTGAAACTCTCTGATTGGATCACGGTCGACCGCGGGCATAGAAAGGTCAAATGCTGAAAGATAACTTCCGACGGTCGACCGTGGCGGTCGACCGCAAACTGATACTTGGCATTGACAGGTTTTTGGGCCAAATTTGAAAATGCATTAAAAATATTAAATCAATTCCAAAAATAATAAAACTTTGGGAAAAGTTTCTAAATGATAAAATGAACATGTTAGAAAAGGAATTTTTGGAAAAATAATTTTTGTTTGCAAAAACATACTGTTTTTGAAAAGTGTTCGTAAAACCTGTATTTTACGAATATGAAAATCTTGATATGACTCATAAATACGTATATATATATCATGCATACGTTATATATATATATAATAGAGTATGAAAGAGCTGTAAACATGAAATAGGATAAATTGTAACAACGTTTGATGAAAAATTATTTATATGATAGAAAACATCAAAAATCGTGTTAAGTGTACTAATATTGAGCTTAAATATAAACATACAATATATGTAAGTAAACTAAACTTATACCTAGGTAAATCCATACATATGAACTTGAATCTTTAACGCTTGATTATTGTGTGTTAAAATACCTGTAAAAAGAAACATAAACACAAAACTAGAGAATATATTAGCGATAAATTGTTTGACAAATCATCATCAAACCTATAGGGTCAACAGACACTTGTAAAGTAGGTACTGACGTAGCTGCCAGTCCACATTTCTTCACCACCATCCTATACTCAGCCGAAGTGACCATTATACCCTTATACCATCAGTATAAATAGAGGTATTATTCTAACATAGAAGGGGGCTCCCAGATTCTGACTTCTAGATCTAATTTTTTAAGCAATCTAAAAATTATACTGCACTACACAAAAGAACTCTCACAGTTCTTTATTTTTCCACTCAAGTTCACCAGCTGACTTGATCGTCGGAGAAACCACGGAGGAACCAGTCCCCGTCCTCTCACGAGTTTCTATTTGTGCAGGCATCAGCCCCCCAACTCAGAACCAGATATTCAGGGAAGGGAGTGGTCCCTCATCAACCTCATTCAACCATTTTAATTGACTGTGCGATCATTAACATCAACACATGGATTATTACATTTGCCATAAAATTTATTTAAATATTTTTTAAAAAAATTATGAAATAGATGATTAATTTTGAAAATATTTTGGGGATAGGAATAAATAACTAACAAGTGTGCAGTGAAAGCTAGGGGAACGTAGTACATTCTTAAGAATTATTAATCTTTACTTAGTTTATTTATAATGATATAATCTAATTATTAACTAACTACAAGACCTAGTACATTATTTTTTTTGTTGGGCCCATGTGAGTCCTCATTGCAATGAATGTTATACAATTTAAGTACAAAGAAAAAAGACGGGTTGATCAATGGTGTAGTTGGTGAGGGGAAACTCCAATAGATTAATTTGGTATGTGGATATATTATAGATGGAGATGGAGAAGGGTTGTTTTGAAAATAGTAGGTGTGTGAGGGTAATTAATATGGTTTTTGTTTGTGTGATTTTGTTCGTTCGTTTTTAAGATATCTGTAGTCATGTGAATATATATAGCTATAGCATTGCTACTCTCTTTTAATTTTATGGAAGAGTTTGGGTGTTAAAAAATTTTAGTTATCTAAATCGGTTAAAGTAGGATCATATAAGTTAAGCCCATACATGAAATTTATTTTAACTAACACGCATGTATAAATATTACAATTGGCATTGAGATCTAAAATATGTGTAGATTCTCTTTGATTTTTATACAAACAACATCTATTTAAATAATAATAGTATAATTAAACTTTATGATCTGAAAAGAAGATCAAACATACAATATAAGTAATTGCTTTAAAATAATCTAATCTACTTTAATAAGAAGAAAATAATAAATGTACATACATGTTGAAAGAGATAAAAATACTATGAAAATTATTACAATATTTAATCTGAAAAAAGATCAAACATACAATATAATTAATTACTTTAAAATAATCTAATCTAATCTAATAAGAAGAAACAATATAATTAATTACTTTAAAATAATCTAATCTAATCTAATAAGAAGAAAATAGATGAAAGTGCTGTGAAAATTATTGATATTTAAAATAATCTAATCTAATCTAATAAGAAGAAAATAGATGAAAGTGCTGTGAAAATTATTGATATTTATTGATATGAAAAAAAGATTGAATATACAATATAGTTAATTACTTAAAATAATCTAATCTAGTCTAATAAGAAGAAAATAACAAAGGCATATATCTATAGAAGGAGATGAAAGTGTTACGAAAATTGTTGTAATTTCTTAGTTTATATACATTGGTATGTAATATTGCATGTGAGAGGATAACAATTATAAATAGAGTTTTATTTAAATAATAAGAGTATGATTAAACTTTAAAAATGATTATGTAGTACTATGAACTACTTAAATTTAAGTTGGTGAGAGATCACCATGTTGTGTCCTCATATCGTAGCCGTTTGTTTTAATTTTTATTTTTTATAATTTTAAGAATGATTTGTCTCACTAATTTGTTTGTTTTTTTCATATACGTCATTTATCTTGTATACATTTATAAATTTGGCATTTAGTAATTTCATTCAGGTTTATATTTCAATTTAAACTATATCCTTATTTCATACTATGTATATCCAATAAGAATTCATTAATTTATCAAGTTGCTCTTACTTAATGGATTAGTATTTAAATTTCAAAGGTATTTTTGTCTACTAAAAGATTTTCCTAAACTCGTACTTTTAAAAGGAGTATGATATGATTAGGAGCACTATTGGTCTACAGAATGAATATAGTTTTAGAAAAAAACCTACGAGAACTATGGTACTTACTGTATGCGTCAAAAATTACCTATGGGCTCTCACCCGTAGTTTGAAGTAGAAAAAAGACGATGAACGTCACTATTCGAGTCACAGAAGCTTAATTGACATCGATGAACACATAAAGTAAGTCGACAAACCATGTGAAGCAACAGAACTACAGAATAGCGAAGATATGAACTGATCGGGAGCTACGCTTCGCTTATGAAAGATGAAGCGCCCCTTGTGTCCCATCTACTCTACATGTGATTCAACCATGGGAGCTTGTAGATCTCCTCGTCGGCTTTCATACGCACTTTGAATGGCACAATTCCGAGTTCGGATGACGAAGATACAACAAAAACAAACGGGACGCGCAAAACAACGCCTCGACCCTCAGCGGAGACACCACGAGTGTCTCGGCCAAGGGCGTGGCCGAGACACCCCAAGTGTCTCGGCCGTGGTCGAGACACCGCGAGCGTCCGCAAACCAAAAAATACAGTTTGAGCTATTTTGAACCGTTTTTTGACCGTTAACCACCTGAATTTGTTCCAACTGATCTAACATCATCCAAAAAAGTGATAAAGTGGTTACAACTGAGGATTAGATCAAATCATTCGTTCTTATCTGAAAACATGGCTCCTGAAGCCTATAAATACAGCCCTAGGGCCTTCATTTGTACAGATCTGGAATTCTTGAGCCTCGACGAAGCCCTGTTGAATTGGAGACTAAAGGAGCACGAATTCCAGAGAGGAGGAGAAGATCGGATTGAGTTCTTCAGCATAAAGAAGAAGAGTTCGTCAGATCTACAGTTCCCGGTTCCTTCCCTTGAGATCGTACCTAGCTGCAATCTCGAGAAGAGTGATTATCTCGCTGTTGCCGAGATAATCGCTTCGGTTTCTTGATTCCTTCGCGAATCAACGAAACTCCGGATTAATCTAATCGTTTGGTAGTCCACGGAGATCAACGCCCCCGTCACAGGCAAAGATCCCGCAAAAAAGTTACAGGCGATAAATACTTGTTGCGTATTGTTTGAAAGAGAGTTGTAATTTACTTTTCATTTTATCGAAAGTCTTATAAAAAAACTATTTTTTCTGAATTTATTGTAACGCCTAAAGTTGTAATGAATTCTACAATGAAAATAATTTTCACCCCAAACACTTACAACAGGAACAAAGTCTTTCTCAAATTCTTTGGGATTTGGTAAACTGCTACATCTACTCCTCTATACCTAAACGAGGATTTGAAGAATCACTATTCATGTTACAGTAAATACTATACTAAATTATTGTTTGTGCTACAGTAATTTACTCTATCGTAGACAGTAAATCACATCTGCTCTTCCATACTTAAAGTTACTATTCATATTACAGTTACTATATCATAAACAGTAAAACAAATCAAATGTATTAAAACTTGGATCATCCTTTAAATATAGAGAAGTATTTATGATTTGTAAATCAAATATTTTAAATCCTTTTTTAAGTATAGAGGAGTAGATATGATTTCTAATTTTAATAATACAATAATCAAATCAAATATATTAAATTTTAGAGGGAGTTAAGTTCAAAATAAAGTGCTTAAAAAAACAGGGTGGCCGTGTTTTGCACATGGTGCATAGTAATTAGATTAAAGAGAAAATTCATATCAATACTGTTTGAACATCTAATGTAATTTAAGTTGAGATTAAAAAATACGTCAATCAAAGGGAGATACTGGTAGAGAAATTAGCATCGATATGAAATTTCTAAGGTATAAAAAATATTAAAGATCTTTAAAGCATGTGCATCAAAGAAATTTCAAATGGATACAGGATATTATCCAAAAGAAATAAAAAAGAAATTTCAAATGGGCCCCACCTTTAATCGAAGTTCAAGCAAAGCGCATTATTCTACGGTCAAGAACCGATCATCGAATCGCCAAAACTAACCACAGGCCGATCCCACCTCTCACCGTGTCACGTTCCCTTGCCCGCTCCTCGCCACGTGTCCTCCCTCCCGTCTCTCTCGCCTCGACATTTCATCAAACACGCACCATCCCCTCTCCCTTCTCTTTGTTCCAAAAAAATGCTACGATCCGCTCAACCCGCCGCTATTCTCGACCGCCCTGCGCCTTCCGTTCACCGAGTTCTCCTCCATCACCGCCCCTCCCACGCCTGTTTCCCTTCCTCGCGGCCGGAAGGATCCGCTCTCCACCCACCGGTCCGAACTCCCACCCCCACCGCCTCCTCCGACGCCCGCAGATGATCCAAAATCTCACCGGCGGAGCACCGCACCGAAGGCTGGGGAAGATTCCAGGTCTCACCCGCGGAGCACCGGACCGCGGAGGGAGAGAGAGAGGAAGGGGGAAAGCTACGAGAAGGAAGAGGCTAAAGTGCTCCGCGCCGCCCTCACGCACGTGGTAAGCTTCGCTTTTTTTTTTTTTGGTTATGAAGGAATTGTGGAAGTGAGCTTTAAGATTCGTGCGCAGGCGAGGTTGGGATGGAGCGAGTCGGCGATGATATCTGGGGCGAGGGATGTTGGCGTTTCTCCTTCTATTATTGGATCCTTTCCCCGTAAAGAAGCGGCACTTGTCGAGGTAAAAATTGTTATTGAAGGTGATTTTTTTGTTAATGTTTATTTGTATGTTTGATTTGGTTTTCTTTCAAGATTAACATTACATAAGTATTATGTGAGATAGAGTGTGATCTTGAAGGAATTGATGTTTATCTGCATATATAGTGGAACAGTATTTATACACACAGTAGGATTTGCGGGGAAAATGATGTGACACATATGATGCATTATCTGCATAGTTGTGTCATAATTTAGATCCAGATAGTTTAGAAATGTACCTATTGAATGGGATGCACTTTAAAAATAGTAATGTATCGTATTAGGTACCGTCAGATTTTATCCTATGACCCTTTTGAGCTCTTAGAGCAAGTACAGCAAGCTCCCAGTTGGGAGTCCTAGTCAGCAAGCTCTCAAGAGCTCTCAACCTTTTTGGAATAAAAAATTAAAAAAGTAAGCCTTGGGAGGTACTCATTCTTTTATGGAGCTCCAACAAGCTCCTAGTTAGGAGCTCCAACAATATCAAAAAAACCCCTCTTCTATTTTAATATTTTACCCATTACTATTAATTATATTTAAACCTCTTGTATTTTATTTCTAACCGTTGGATACGGCCTTCGAGGGAGCGCACACGGTCTTCGAGGCAACCCACGGTCTTCGAGGGAGCGCACACGGTCTTCGAGGCAACCCACGGTCTTCGAGGGAACGCACACGGTCTTCGAGGCAACCCATGGTCTTCGAGGGAGAACACACGGTCTTCGAGGCAACCCACGGTCTTCGAGGGAGCGCACACGGTCTTCGAGGTATTCGAGGCTGGGCACGAAGTTCGAGGTATCGCAAACTTTGATCGTCAACCGACTGATGCCTATAAAATTCGACGGCTTCTCTCCTCAACCCATCATCTCTCAAAATAAAATGTCTAGCTCATCTAGCTCTAGCGATGATGAAATGATAGAGACGTTCTTTCTTATGGGAGCTGCTGTCGTTAAGGAAGAAGAATAAGAGAAATGTTCAACTTCAGTTCAACACAAACGACGTATCGTGCTCCATCGAAACCGACTGGAAGGCCACAATCGGTTATTCCAAGATTATTTTGCTGACGCACCAACCTATCCTCTTTATTATTTTCGTCAAAGGTTCAGAATGACGCGTTCGTTATTCCTTCGAATTCACGACGCAGTCGTCGAACATGACAAGTACTTCGTCCAAAAGAGGAATGGTGCTGGACAGTTAGGACTATCTAGTCTTCAAAAGATTACTGCAGCTATGCGGATGCTCGCATATGGAGCATCCACTGACTCCGTTGACGACTACGTTCAGATCGGTAAAAGTACGTCGCTTGAGAGCGTGAAGAGGTTCGTTCGATCGATTATCAACATCTTTGGAGAGGAATACCTTCGTGCACCGACTAATGAAGACGTTGCACGCCTGCTCGAGGAAGGCTCACAACGAGGTTTTCCTGGTATGCTTGGGAGCATCGACTGCATGCACTGGACATGGAAGAACTGTCCAACTGCCTGGCAAGGTATGTATACTGGATATTTTTATGAACCTACAATTATTTTGGAGGCCGTAGCTAGCAAAGATCTTTGGATATGGCATGCCTTCTTTGGACTGCCGGGGTCTCACAATGACCTTAATGTTCTACATCGTTCACCGGTTTTCGCACAACTTGCAGAGGGAAGAATTTCATCGTGCAACTATACTGTCAATGGCCACGAGTATAATATGGGATACTATCTCGCCGACGGGATTTACCCAGAGTGGTCCACATTAGTGAAGACTATTCCAGCACCTCGAGGAAATAAGCATAAATACTTTGCTCAACAACAAGGCTTTTGACGTGTTGCAAGCTCGATTTGCGATTGTTCGTGGACCAGGACGTTTCTGGCAACCTTGTGTGCTAAAAGATATCATGACAGCTTGTATCATAATGCATAACATGATCGTTGAAGATGAACGTGATTGTCAATTGGACAACTTCGACTTTACCGATTCGGTACCAGTCGTTGAACATTCTCATGTGCAGACGGTGCCTCTAACTGAGTTCATCCAAAATCATCATCGGATCAGGAACATGCAAACACACAAATCACTAAAAAATGATTTGATCGAGCATCTGTGGCAGCTTAAGTGATCCATCGTCGAGGATTAAGTTTCTTTATGTCTAATGTAATTTCAGAAAAGGAGTTCAAGTTGTTGTACTACGCCAATTTTATTTTTAATAAAGTAGTTGTTTTCATTCAATGCCAAAATTTTCAACTTCAAGTACAATCATAATAAATCTAATATAATATAATATTTGGTAATTAGGAAGAACTAATGAGGATGTGATGCGAGTACAATATATGATAATTAGGAAGAACCCTTGGACATCCACCTCTCCAATATCTCTGCCTGACGCATTTCAAAGTATTGACGTTGAACTGAATTGAGTGTTGAGAGATCGATCTTCATGATATCGTCATCTTGTTTCTTCTGTTTTAGCTCCATTTTTTCTTTGTTGGTTTGCTTCATCCACGCGAAAGCCTCTCCCATGATGGACGTAGCGGATCCATGTTTCCTCTTGAGTTTTGCCGCTTTCCTCCCTTCAGGCCTTGCTATAACATCATCCGAGTCAATGTTCAACTCGATGGGGGTCGCTGGCATGAAATTATTTGGTGAGGAATCAGAGTTCGTGGTTCTTCTCGGCTGTGATCGAATCTTATTGTAAGTTTTCATTTGTTGGTTCCATTTTTGGTGATGACGCAACTCAACCCAGCAATGGTCCAACACGAATGGCTTACCATAAAGGGATTGGTATAATTCTTTTATTTCTGCAGTCTACACAAGAGTTAAATTTAGAATAATCAAACATATAAGTTAAATATTTACATAAAAACATATAAGTTAAATATTTACCTGGTCAATAATTCCCGTACCAGATCTTTGTCTTCCTTCAATCTGAGCAACGCACCCGCAGAACTTGTTGACCGACAGTTGAATCGTTGACCAACGGTGCATCATTTGGTTTGGTGTGCGACTCGTTGGATCAGTGGAGTATTGGATAAAGTAGTCGTTAGCTCTGTGTCAGAACTTATATTTGTGTTGCCCCGTGCCTTGGATGGAGTCTTGGCTCGTGTTTAGCCAAGCAGACACAAGAAGCTTATCCTCGTGGACAGTCTAATTTTCGGACCGTGTGTAAGCCTTCTTCTTCTTTGTGGTCGGTGTTTCTTGGGATGACACTTGTTGTGTTGCGGATTGCGATAACTCGATGGGATGACCTTCTTCTACGATTTCTGTATAGAACGGCGAGTATAAGGTCGATCCTTCACCGGTAAGGAGATGCGAATAGTAGTTGTTTTGGGAGGGATCCATGAGATTTGTAATTTGATAGGAAAATGGAATTGTGAATTGTGAGAGAGTTGTGTGGATTGTGAATTGTGGATTGTGAATTGTGAATTGTGAATTTATAGAGATTTTTTTTACTGTTCAACAGCAAGAAAATGGAGCTTATAACTGTCATTTTCATAACTTAACGGTAAGAATTTTTGCTCAACGTTTCATTTTTTACACAACGGTACATTTTTTCACTCAAACGTTCATTTTTTCACTCAAACGTTCATTTTTTCACTCAGCTGTCCAACGAATAAAACACAATAAAAAAAAATCTTCGTCAAAAACACCGAACCCAGAGAACTGTCCACGAATTTTCCCCCAAACCAAAACCTCTTCATTTTCCCCCAAACCCATGCCTCTTCTTCTTCTCCCCAACCCAAACCAGACTTCAAAAACCCACGAACCCAGAGACTGAACCACTGCCGCCCATCGGATCTCTGGCTCCCCAACCCGCGGCCTCGGAGACTCAACCACCGCCGCCCATCGGAGTACAGACCAGCCGCCCGCGAAGCTGAAGTCCGTCGCCGCCGATCTCATCGATTTGAGACAAAAAGGTTCGATTTTTACTTCAATTTTGTGTAGATCTGCGAAGATTACTTGTTGGGGGGGTTTTTTGTTAAATTCAGGCCAGTTGGGAGCTCTCAAGCGCTCCACAAATTTGTAGAGCGCTTGGGAGCTCAGAAGCTCTCAGGAGGCACGTCAGCCTTGAGAGCGAGGCTTGGGAGGGTTTGGGAGCTTGCTGGAGGGGGGAAGAAGTTTTTCATGGCCACGTCAGCCTTGAGAGCTCTGAAGAGAGCTTGCTGCCCTTGCTCTTATTCCTTATTATGTTTTTTCGGAGCTCGGCTCATTGAGTTAGAAGCTTTTTTACACTTGAAAGAACTGACTTTTTTTTAAATTTCCTTACTAAGTTGTAAAACCTTCCATTCCTGTGCAAATATTATTTAAATCCAAACACGAAGCTGCTGTGAAAGGAACTTGGTGTACAATCCCACTGACCAAATAAGATCTTTATACTCTGGTGCTGCGTCAGAAAATTTGGGCAGCCTGATTAGATTATCGTCTGAATTGAGAGGATGTTGGGATAATAGCCATTTTACTTATCAATCAAATTTCAAATGTGCACTTGGCTAAGGAGGTCTGGAGTTAGATCCTAGTATCCCGTTGGCTACTAGCCTTGCACCAGCAAAGATATGTTTATGTGAATTGTAAAATCAATAGGATTACCGCATGGGTCTTGAGTAATGCATGAACTCTGGCAGTATGAATAGTAGGTAGTAGGTGAAGAATTTGGACCTATCAAATGTATCCATACATTGTACCTAATAACCAAATCTCATTAAAAATTTTCAACTTGATTACTACAACCACATTAAAGCTGATTCCACTTCGACGTGCGGCTCCCAGTAGTCTTTTGTAGGGCAATATTCACGATGCGAAAGTGTGATGCTGACAAGAAGGATTCATTTAATGAAGCTTGATATGAAATGGGATCAAATATTTTGAGTTAAGAAAGAGGGGATATGGTGGATCTACTGTAGGAGTTACGTTGACAGGAAGAAGTGTGAAGAATGATTCATTGGTTGACTTCAAATAAGACAATCCCTTGGTAGTATCAGTGTGATAAAATACTGTGTGTTTGGTAACCAAAGTGTTTTTTTTGTTATGTTTTTTTAAAAAACACCATCCCATGGTGTTTATTTTTCAAACGTGTTTTCAAAACACCTCAGTGTCATTCAGTCCAAGTTTTCAGCCAAGCAGAACAAATCAATTCAAAGTAACTCAATCTAAGTTTATCCAGTTCAAATTTCACTACTATGAACATAAATTGAAAAAAAAATGAAAGGAAGATAAACAAATAACCAAAACCCACTAAAAAGATCGCATTTTTTCAGGATGGCTCAAATCCAATTAACCAACCAATAACTAGTTCAGATTAATTCAATCAAATTATTTTAATTGCCTCCAGTTCAAATTCCACTACTACGAACACGAAAAGACCCCATATGAACCCTGAAATCTACTCAAAATCTTAACGAAGAACCAAAAGACAGTAAAAAGAACCTATTTTTGACTCAATCCAAAACTAATTCACCCACCCATAACTAGTTCACACTTCAGCTGTTAAACTAGATAACATTTAAAAAGCCCTAAATTCACAAAACAAAACAAAAAAATCAAATTTCTTATCTAGGGCATCTTGACTCAAGAGACGATAAACAGCCTCACTAGGATCCATATTACACTCTTTAAGCATGCATAGATCTCCGGATCTGAGCAATTCACGATCTCCTTCTTCGCCTCCGCCAGATAAAGCTCCGGATCTCCCGCTTGAGGGAACTAGAGGCGATGGCGACTGCGCTCAGATCTGAAGCTTGGGCGACGGCGATGGCCACAACGACAGGCTTTGGAATGCGACGACGACGACGGGGATTGGGGGATCTAGAGGCGGCGATTCGGAGTGGCGGCGACTGTGTTAGGATTGAGGGAGAGAAATAGGGATCAGGTTGGAATGAGGGGGAAATAAGACACAGTTTTCTCAAAACACCTTTTAGGTGTTTTGAGAATACCGTGTATCTTTTCGTTTTTGTGAAGGGTAGCCCAAAAAATCACTCCAGTTCCCAAACATATTTTGTTGTTTTTTTGAGAAAAATAAACGAAAACTGAAAAAACACTCTGATGGTCAAACGCTACTAGTGTTTTGTTGCTGATGCTCTGATTCCAATGATCTTAAAGTTATCTTTTACCATATATCATGCAATGTTGTTTATCGATTGAATTTTGGTTGGCCATTAGTTCAACACCTTGACTGAGGTCACTCTTTACTCAACATCTGCCTTAAATAGCTGCTCTCTAGACGCTAAATGGTAGTTGGAACTTGGAAGAGTATTGAGGTTACTTCGTTTATATTTGTGGAATGCTGGATTCATTCTTGAAACAAATGTGCTATCAATTTTATGGATATTGCCTGCAGTACAGATACTTGTTAAGATTCAATGCATGAAGTAAACAGTTAGGATAACAGTTGACAGTTATGGTAATAGCTACGATTTCTTTAATGATTTTATCTGGAGAGTACAATAAACTTTTATTTGAGCCTGTTTGACGGAGCATAAATGTATACCTCTAGAGTTGCAAGTGCACAACCATCAAGTTATAGTACAAAAAGTTATCGATCCCACGAGGAAGGTGGTTGTAGGAGAAAATCAAAATCGGTTCTTATGTTGTGTGTGTGTGACAATTAGGAGTGATGGATGTGATTGTGGAGAGAGAGAGAGAGTGAGAGTGATTGTATATAAAAAAACGAAACGAGATTGAGAGTGGAGAGATAAAGAGTGGATGTGATAAAGTGTAAATGTAAACAAAACTAACAAAAGGGAAGAAAGAAAGATGAAGGAAATAAAATTAAGAAACAAATGATAGAAAAATCAATAATATAGAGGAAAATAAAGAAAGTAAAAGACGGATGATTCAATTAGAAATATGAGGAATCTAGAATTGAATTCACTAGCTAGTTTCATGCAATTTCTAGAGTTCCCACAAGTATTAGTTCCACATCTTAAAAAAAAGAGCAATTCGCTAGTGGTCTAGCCTCAAGGCGAATTAAAGAAAGAAAAAAATAAACAAAAATAAAAACTAATCCCAAGAGGTTTCTAGCCTCAAGGCGAATAGTGCAAGAAAATAAAATCTAAACTACAAAATAAATTGCAAGAAATAAATACAAGAATTTAAAGTAAGAAAGTAAAAACACGAAATTAATTTACTCTACAAGTATAAAAATAAAAATAAATATAAGGCAAGAGGGTTCTAGCCTCTTGGCTATTTAAACAAGAAAAAAAAGCAAAAGATAAATTTATTAACAAAGAGAAAATTTACATTCCAAGAGGGTTCTAGCCTCAATGTGATAGCAAACATTCATCTTGATCTTTATCTTTATCTTCATAGTCAAACAAAGAAAAGAAAAGAAAAATAAGAAGATGTGAAAATATTTTTTTATTAATTGCAACAAAAAGTTACAATTTGGAAGGTACTCTCAATTAAGAGTAACTCTCCTCTCCAAAAAGAGTTTTTACAAAATATTTCACACTCAAACCCCTCACTCTCTACCCCTATTTCATAACCTGATAAGCTGCTTATTAAAGGGATTATAACTAAGTTAAATATCCGCAAATAACTCCCTATTAAGTATATTTATATTAGTTTACTAGAGAAAATACAAGGTATGTTGAAGTAACCATAAAGTTGACGAGTTTTCTTGTACTTTTGAGCGATCATTAAGGTAAAGCCCTACATATTTCTGCTTTTCATTGCAATCACAATCTAATTTGAAGCCTTATTTCTACAATGCAGTTCTTCATGGATGATTGCCTCCAAAGGCTTATAGATAGAATTGACTCAGGACAGGAATTGCAGGATTTGGTACTTACAGATCGCCTATCAAAGCTCATTCGCATCCGGTTAGAAATGCAAGCACCCTACATATCAAAATGGCCTCAAGCTTTGAGCATACAGGTAGAGCTCTTTCATGTTTTGAGATCTTAAGCATCATTGTCTCAGATTTGATATTATTTAGAACTTATATCTATTTATTAAAGGCACAACCAATGAATCTCCCAACAAGTTTTCGGCAACGGGCAGAACTTGTTGATGAGATTTCGCATGCGGCTGGGGACCACAGCTCAGAGATTGATTGGTACGTGAAGCGGACAGTGCTGGGAGGTATATACTCAACGGCTGAAGTCTACATGCTGACTGATCATTCTACAGGTCTGTTTTGATCTTGGTTTTGCCTCGTAATTTGATTGTTACATTGCATCCCTTTTCTTATTACTATTTGATCTTTCTTGCCATAAAACACACGGGCAAACAAACAAGCCCACTACTTATCTGTGCCCCTGATGAGCTGACCTTTCACTCACCACCTTGTTCAGTAAACTGAAACAAATGTCAAACACTGCATAAACGATCTTCTAATCAGCTCTAAGAATGGCTTTAGCTAGAGGTGAAACCCACTTTGCTATTCATTAGCATTTATCTATGTTCACATCCTTCCTACACAAGCACCTGAAAACTGTTGTTGATATAAACAAAATGATATCTTTACATATATAATCTCCTCTCCTCCTAGCTGATCACAACTAGAACAAGGATGACTTAGATTGGTTGATCAGCCAAACCATAGAGCATGTTTGGCAAGTGGTCAAATGGCTGATGGACCACTTTGACATGGTTGGCAAAAGCCACCAAAAATTAAGCTGGGGTATCCTAGCTTATTTTTTGGTGGCTTGTAAGCCACAAGGTTTGACCAAGTAAAAGTCCAATATACGCCTCACATTTCACAAAATTCCAAACCTCAGTCATATCTCCCCAACCGCATTAAATACTTTTTGGTCATTTTGAGAATGATGATGGTTTATAAGCCACCCATTTGGCAAACATTCTACTATTGCAAATGGATTATGATCCACTAAATTTACCAAACACTTTACCAGACACTTTGGCTTATAATCTACTTGCTTATAATCTACTTGCTTATAATCCATTTGTGGATTATAATCTGAACTTGCCAATCAAACATACTCATAGAAAGAATCAACCAGAGATACAATACACAATATTAAGAGAGAGCATGCCCTTCTAACCTATGACTGGAGGGGAACTTTCCCTGCCAAAATATGGCTGATAAAGATAAACATGGCATGTGTCTATCCATATCTAGTACTCATGATCTAGAAACCGTTATTTACTTCAAAAATTGTGTGTGGGAAGTATCTTATAATCCTTCTTGCATAAGCTAATTTCTACGCTGGATTATTTGATATATAGATAACAATTATCCTACATATACAACATATCTGTACGATTTAAGATATGCATACAATGAAAGAACATAGTGTGCATTTAGTCTGGATGTTGTAGAATTCTATCTTCTGCCACCTTGTCTCCACACTATACTATATACTTGCCTCCAACGGCCACAAATCACTGCTTATAACTCTTTTTCTTACTAACTTAAAAGTCTTTAACACCAGCAGCTCATACTCATGCAATTGCTAATGGATGAATTGTCTTTTCTAGTGTTTTCCACGTCAGGTTGCTTCTGCTCTTTTTCCCTCTTCCAAAAACATATTTTCTGAACCATATGGTTCTTTCATCAAACCATAACATCATCACAACCCCGATTCTACTTCTGTTTAGCAGGCTCTGCCCACATCAAGAACAAATTTTTCGAGTACTATTAATTTGTGCCCAACTTTTTTGAATACTATTAAATTTTTTAAAATTTGATTTATGTTTTAATATGGATAGGCAGAACAGAAAGTACATAACATAATTGCAAGTATTTCTAGTCCCCCCCGTCCTTCATATAAACCCTATGATACCCCGACATGGCAAAATGGACGTCGTACCTGTGTCGGGTGCGGTTTGGGTACGGTTCCGCACCCAAATGGAGGGGACACGACATTTCTTCCGTGTCCAAGCATCCCGCCGGAGCAGCCGCCCAGCACTGCGACGACTCCTTCGCCCAAGCATCCACCCGAGCACCGCGACTCCTCCTCCGTCAAGCATCTGCCGAAGCAGCCGCGACTCCTACTCTGAAGCATCCGCCGGAAGCAGCCACGACGACTCCTCCCGCCGCGACCACACGACTCCTCTGCGCCTAACAACTTGGTTGCGACCCGGACCACGCAGCTGCTGCTGTGGCGGCAGCGGAGTCGCGGCGGAGTGGTCGGGCTCCGCGACGTGGTTAGGGCGGCGGAGGATCGTGGGCGTGCGGCGCTTCTAAGAGAAGGGGGGGGGAGAGAGAGATTGAGATTGAGAGGGGGGAGAGAGATTGAGATTGAATATCTAGGGGAGATAGAGAGGAAAGAGAGACTTGCCAACTCATTCCTTCTTTCAAAATATGGGTTGTTTTTGCAAAAGTATATCAATTCTTCTTCATTCACTTTTTTTTTGAAAAGTTCATTCACTCATTATTAGATGAAGGGACAAGATTAATTCATCTCACTACCAAGTTTTTGTATGCTCAGGATGAAAGTAATAAAAATTAGAATTTGGTATTATCTTCAAATCAGTTACATAACTTATATTTGTCATTGATTATACAAGCCAAGGTTACATAATAATATAACATACAAATTGATCTATTTTTCTATATGTTTCTCTTCTCTTTCTTGTCTTCTTTAACATTATTGTCTTCAATTCTCCAAGAGATTATTGTCATCCCGACCTCTTAATTCACACCTGCAACATGCACTTTCCTTTAGTTTCTTATTTATAATCTCCACTTCACATAACAAAAAATATGAAAATGTAATAGGTATTTAATTCAATATTGATTTAAAGTGAATTATTTTATATATATACAGTTGTGTACCCGTACCCTACTTTTTACAAATTTGTCGTGTCCCGTACCCGTATCTATGCAACATAGTATAAACCAAATAAGTTTAGTTTTTTTTCTCTTTTTAAGGAATTCTCATGCATTTAAAATTTCAAATCCTTGTTACTGCACAAAGAATTATATATTATGTTCTTTTTCACAATACTAATGTATTTATAACTTTGTTCCCAAATTTAAAATGAAAGCGGTAAGGCCACCAAGGACTGGGATAATATTAATGAATGGGATTGGGGTAGTGGAGGTCTCAGGTTCAAGACTGATGAAGGCGCCTTTTGTTCTACACGTCTACATAAAATAAAATAAAAGAAGAAACATATTCTGCCAAATTGTTAGTAACAATGTCAATAAAGACTGAAGTTCTTGGGAAGGATCTAGATAAATGGACTATTGCCATGAGTTTATTACTTGTGGAGTCAGTGAGGAAGACTGCAGCTGACCTTACTTCTCTAATTTACTGAAAATTGATCTTTGTCCATAGACCGTTGCTTGAAATTTTGTGAATTCTTTATAGGCAGTTCTACGTCCATTGTTACTTCAATCAGCCCCCCCCACCCACCCCACTCACCAAAAAAAAACTCCCCGCCCGTCCTCCCCTCGTTTTCTTATTTTCTGTTTTCAGTCGCTTTTGCCTTTTGCTAACACCGTTTACTAAGGTCTTAAATAAGCTGATGGCGATGTTCTGTGACAGAGTTCTGTGATACGTGGACATTCCTGGAGCGCCGAATTAAAGATGCTTTTGATCTTCAGAAGACTGTTCAAGAGGTATTTCATGTTAACTAATTATTTCACACGTTGACACCAGGTCCAAGAATAACATACATATTGCATAATATGTGATAATTTATCCACTCATGCTATCCATAAACAAGCACTCTGCATTTAAGAGAACCACGATCCGAGGAATAAGTAACACTCATCAGATTTAGACTATAACCATCAAATTACAGATACATGTTTTGTATAGATGACAATATTTTTCTAGGCCATCAAAATCTTATTTATGTTGAAAGTATCATGCCCTAATTTAATAGATGAAATCACTTCACAAAGATCAGTTAGAACTTTAATCCCCCCCCCCCCCCCCCCCCGATTTTATCTCTGTTAAGCCTGATAATACTAGCGTAACTGCAAGTCAGTCGATCCTCTTCAGATGCGTGTATGAGATTTAAACAAACCACTCTGTTAAACCTGAAGTTTGTTTACTCACATAGCCCTCCTGACCTTCCGGTGTCTCATAAATCCCCTTGAACTTGGGAATTTAGACTCCTATTAGAGCAGGGTACAATTCAGTTGCATCTGGTGTACAATGCGTGTCCTTTAAGTGTCAATGTCTCTGTTATCATGCTCACTTTTCTTCTCCTTTGCTTGTATTCCCCTCTAACTACATTTTGAATGTTTTTCATTATTCTAGGCTGCATACTTAGCAGAGGCTGTCGGTGCCGGCATGGGCAACTCTGTGCAAGGGTTCATGAAGAGAGTATTCCAAAGTTGAATCTTTGTCCAGCATAGAAACTCTGTAGTCTTGTTATTGTGTTCTCATCCCATATTTAATTTGGTTAATACTTTGGATTTTTTGATAAGTATGTTATTGTTTTCCAGCATAGAATCTTTGTTTGCTTTGGTTAACGCTTGGGAATTTTTGATAAGTATGTTATTGAAAGTTGTAAATTCTCATCCCATGTTTCTGGTCGTGCTTGGAAGATTACTGATAAATGGATACAATTTGTTCAAAGACTATAAAAAGCAGAGTTATTGATGAATATCTTACAATTCCTGAACATTAGGGCTATAACCATAAACATGGGTCCGGCTAGAGAGTCAGCGTGGCCTGGGCCGACTTCGT